CTGCATCCCCTGTCGCATGCTGGCAACATCTCTGCGTCCTCTGTCGCAGGCTGGTAGCTTATCTGCATCATTCTTCCTCATCCTTCCAGTTTCTCTGCATCCTATGGAAGCCCTGAAACGACATCCGACTTTTTGAGTTTCCGAGTTTCCGAGTTTCTGAGTTTCCGAGTTGCTAAGTTTTTTCTGCGCGTACACAAACACCTGAAGCAGAGTCAATAGAACACTAATAATAGAACATATATAAAATATGGATACAATAAAATATATGAAAATACATGCGCAGATGAAACTCAAAAACTCGGAAAAGAAACTCGAAAACTCGGAAACTCAAAAAGTCGTATGTAGTTTCAGGGATGAAGCGCCTGAAGCAGAGACAATAGAACACTAATAATAGAACATGTATAAAATATGGATATAATAAAATATATGAAAAGGCATGCGCAGATGAAACTTAGAAACTCGCAGAAACTCGGAAACTCAGAAACTCAGAAACTCAGAAACTCAAAAAGTCGGATGTTGTTTCAGGGCTTCCATAGCATCCTCTCTCACGCTTGCAATTTTTCATCATTCTCTTCCGCATCCTTGCAGCTTTTCCTTATCCTCCCCGGCCAATAACAGTCACCCGAAACGCTCTTTGGTATTACATGTACGTGTGTATGTGCGTGCGTGCGTTCGTGTGTGCGTGCGTGCGTGCGTGCATGCGTGCGTGCTATGCGACGGCTGAAGATGTGGCGGCGTCTACTGATCGATCGAGATTGCTTGTCTGCGTTATGCGTGCTGGGTGGGAGAGAAGAGAGGAGGAGGGATAGCGGAGGTGCATGTTGTTGGGAAGGTGAGATGCATTAGAGCACTTTGCAACAGCTTCAACAAGGAGCATTTTCGCAGGTGTTTTCGCAGGCGTTACACATCTGCTACAAGCGTGCGTGTCTGTGTGTACGTGTACGCGCGTCTGTGCGTGCGTGTGTGTGCGTGCGCGCGTGTCTGTAAGTGCGTGCGTGCGTGTCCGTGTGTGCGTGCGCGTTGTATGGGTGTCTGTGCGTGTCTGTAACATTGGCATGAGGCGGTTGGACTCATTCACCGGGGGCGTCATTGGTGACGCTTTTTTTCATGTTCACATGTGTCATGTGTGTTGCGCTGTCAAGTCTTTCCTCGAGCGTACCGTCATAGCGGCACTTTGGTGTGCCGCCGAAACGTGTGAATTCTCTGTTATATTATATCGATGTTTAAGTCTCGCGTCTGTAGTCGCTGTAGTGGCGTGTAATTCGCGCCGACGACGTTGCCAGCCCGATGAACAATCACCTGGTAACGGCCCCGTTATCTTTTTATCATCTTGCGTTCTAAAATGTTTATTTTAACCGTTTTCTCGCGGTACATTTTCTCTCTCCCCGTCTCATCTCTCTTCCCTACTCATCTTGCCCTCCCTACCCATCTGTCTGCACTCAGTCATTTTCTCCATTCGTTCGTCTCTTTGTCTGTCTGTATGTCTGTATGTCTGTCTGTCTTCCACTCCCTTCCATCCCTTCCCCCTATTTCTTCTCTCTCTGTCCCTCCCTGTATTTAACTATTTATCACTGCCTGCCTGTCTGTCTGTCTGCCTGTCTTTCTCTCCCCTTCGCTGTAAAGGCCTTCTCTCTTTCTCTCTCTCTCTCTTTCTCTCTCGCAATCTCCAACTTTTAGCACGCGTGAAGCGTTGTGTTATTGATGGCTAACAATGATCATTAATGGCTTTATTATAGCATGTTTGCCCTTCGCGGCGTCTGAGGGCAGCGCAGTCTCCTACTTGACTGCCACTCCAGAATTTATATTGTCGCATTCTGAAACGCCCGTGTACAAACTCGGTAATGATGTTGACGCATCTGCGCCGATTTGCATATTCGTCGTTGGCCGCGTGCCAGACGCGCACTCTGCGTGTGTGCGCGGGTTTGGCTTCGTTGTAATCCGGTAAGGGTCCTAGGCTTCTGCAGTCTAATAATAATGATGATCTGTGCGTGCGGCATATGCGGATGCGATGATAACACACGATTATTAGTTATTCGTACTGGCTGTCGCCGACTCTGCGCGTACTATGACCCTAGTTTGGCTGCTCGGGTACGTACGACCCTAGGTCGTCTATTATGGGGCTGACTGGCTATGGCGAGTGAGTTGAATCTACGTTGAACCCAGATCACATGGCTGGCTGTTATCTGCGCTCTCTACGATTGCCTGTGCGTTGTACTACTGTCTAGACTCTAGCAGATATGCCAGATATAGAGGGGACTGACTACTCTTGCATGTCTGCTTTGTTTAGCCCGGCAGTTATCGGCGTCCCCTGCTCTTGCTCGCGTGTACGTGTGGATATCCTGTACTGCTGATATTATTTACCTTGACTGAGGTCACCAGGATTTCCATCGTTGTTGTACGTGCAGAGTATATATGCGATACTAGGACGTCGTGAGACGTCGTGCTGACTGTGTTTCGCCTGAGAGCTGCTCGTTGTGTGTTAACGTGAATTCATTGCCGTCACGCTGAGAGTGTCTATGTCCCCCGGGGTACTGCCGGAACGTACCCTGGGTACGGTCCGGTATACCGGAACGTACCCTGGTACGATCTAATATGCCGGACCGTACCTCGCCTACTCCACTAA